CGCCGGCGCCCGCTGCCCCTTGGCCAGCGTGGGGCACGGGCAGGGTGTGGGGCTGCAGCGGCGCCCCGGGGTGGGACAGGAACAGGGAAGAGGGTGAAAGCCCCGGGCAGGGCAGGAGCACTGCCGTCCTGCTGCAGGGACGCACCCGGCCCTGTGCCAGAGGGACAGGAGGGGAGGCCCCACACAGCCGCTGCGGAGCAGCACCCGGCACTTTATTGCAAGGCAGACAACCGCGCTCCCCGCAGCACACGGGATGCCGTGCACCCCTTCCCTCCACCAGCACCCTGGGCTGCCCAGCCCTGCGGCCGCCCCCACCTCTAGCACCCGCGCAGGGGCCGGGCTGCACCGGTGACGGTGAACCGTGCGCTCAGCACCTCCGAGGGCGCCTGCATCTGCTGGCCCGGTTGCTGCCCACCGGCAAAGAGGGTGAAGGTGCCGGGCTCGAGGCGCCAGTCCTGTGCCCAGATGGCGCGCTGCTCGGCCACCACCTGGAAGGACAGCTTGGTCTCCCGGCCGGCCGGCACAGCCACGCGGCGGAAAGCCACCAGCTGCCAGCGGGGCACTGGCACGGAGGACTGCTCCCACCGCAGGTACAGCTGCACCACCTGCCCAGAGGGACGGGAGTCAGTACCAACAGGAACCCCCAGCCGCATCCATACCCCCTACGGCCACATCAGTGCGAAGCGGCCATGCTCACCTCCTCGCCGTCCCGCTGCCCCGTGTTCTCCAACACCACGGACACGGAGAGGTTGGCACAGACAGGCAGCGCTGGGGGGCTCAGCACTAGGTCCCGGTACTGGAAGGTGGTGTAGGACAACCCGTACCCGAAGGGATAGAGCGGGGCCTCCTGCCCGTAGTACCGGTACGTCCGCCCCTCCATGGTATAGTTCTCCATCGGTGGCACCTGCGGGACGCAGGGCCGGTGGAGCAGGGCAGGGCTGGGCAGGCATGGTCAAGCATCAGCCCCGCGTCCCATGGCTCTCTGGCCACCGAGGCAGGGAAGGGCTACGGGTGCCGCCGGCTGCCCTGGCCTTACCTGGTGCATGCCCGCGGGCCACGTGGCTGGCAGCCTGCCTGCCGGGTTGGCCCCTGCCTCGCCCAGCAGGACCCTGGCGATGGCGAGGCCGGCGGCCTGGCCAGGGAAGAAGCATGCCAGGATGGCCCCCACGCCCTCGTGCGCCTGTGCCCAGCTCACGTCCAGGGGCCCCGCGTTGAACAGCAGCAGGATGACAGGGTGCCCAGCAGCTGTAGAGAGACAGCTGTCATCAAGAGCCCCACGCCGGCGCTGCTTGGATGGCTCCGGGGTGCCCCAGGGATGGGGAATGCCTGGGGGGGTTGTGGTTTCCCTCCCTGCACCCCAGCCCATCACCACCCCCTCTGGGCTGGCCCTGACCCCTGGGACCCCAGCCAGCCCCCAGGTGCTGGCACACTGCCCTGGCCGGGAGCTGAGCCCCGTAGAGCCCCTACCCGCCTGCACGGCGTCCTGCAGCAGCTCCAGCTGGTGGCCCGGCAGGGACAGGTCTCTCCGGTCCTTCGCCTCCGTCTCCACATCCGTCCCTGCGTGGGGACAGCCCCTTACACCCTGCCCGGGGCACCACGGACAGACGGGGCAGAGGGGCACCGACTGCCTTGGGGGTCCGATGGGGACACGTTCCTCTCCCAGAGCTGCCCCGGCTCTGGGGTGCTCCCCCCCCCAAGCCGTGCCCACCCAGCACCAGCCCCGCTCCCACCTACCTGTCCCCAGGCAGACCACCACCACATCGGCTGCCCCCACCGCACCCGCCACCTCTGCCCGCGAGTACTGCTGGCACCGCGGCTCACGGCAGCCTGCCGCGAAGCTGACGTTGGCCAACAGTGG